GCACACTAGGCCACCGGAGCACCCATTGGTATTACAGTAGACACATTCACCTGGGTAATCGAGGGAGTTGTACAACAGTCAGTGAACCACACATGGTAACCTTTGGCATCCTTCTCAGAATGGTTGCTAGACAACAACTCAAGGTATAGCACTTTCGGTGGGGAAGTCCTGGCCATATATTGTGCAGTACATCACTTTAAACAATATTGAAAATCGAGAATTCATTCTTTTCACCGATCACAAACCTCTTATATTCTCTTTGGGCTCATCTTCGAACAAGTACTCCTCTCGAGAGTCTCGACAACTGGATTACATTCTGCAGTTCACAAATGCAACACATTTTTGTAGCAAACAATCTACTTGCAGATGCTTTGTCACGTATAAATTCCTTGAACGGTTTCCAAGGAATCAACCTTCAAAAAGAAGACACTGAACGTCAGCACGGGTTATCTCCAGCAACCCTAAAACTGAGTATTAAATAGATAGGGACAGGTAAGGAAACCTTAATATGTGATATATCTACAGGAAGAGATCGTCCAATAGTGCCGAAATATTAGTGACAACTTTCTCATCCAGATGTCTGAGCAACCGTCAAACTCATAGCGGAACGGATTTCCTGGCTCGTTAGGGATAAAAAGGTGATGGATCGGGTACACTTCTGTGTAAGCTGTTAGAAACCTAAGGTGATTGGACACAACAAATGTCCCTTAGACTGGCATGAATACATTTTCAATCGGTATGAGTATATTTCATCAAGTGTCTGCATTTTGTCAGGAGTACCATCCAGGTACCATTATTCGTACTTACATTATTTCCCGTAGAGCTTCTTCTATGAATATCTTGCTCCATTTTGAAAGTGCTTCATGCTACTATACAGAAGTTATCGGCTATTGTTGCCTTTTGAATTATCGAACTTGAAAGAGTGTGGGTAAAATTCTATCAATGACAAACACATCGAAGTAGTCCAATTATTGGGTTTCACAAAATGCTGAATAACTACTACCATTAAGTGACATTTTAAGTACAAATTTTATTGGTTACATATTGCTTGAAAAATCCTTTCAGGCTGAAACGCCCCGATGAAACTATCACAAATAATATGAAGGACAACAGTGAAGTCCCACTGCAACTCATTCACGATGCCGTTTAGGCTAATTCGCTCTCCAATATATGTTGTCTCGTTAACTGTGTATTTTGGCAGGCTAATTCATCCAGTAGCACCATGAATTTACTCGAGAATATTGAGAATGAAATTCGGAACTCATATCCAAATGGCTGAAGAAAAAATGAAATCCAACGGTTAAATTAGATCACAGGATAAACAGACATCTCTCCCCATTGCGAAACATTTGGTTGAAACCGGTCATAAGGTTGACACCAAGTCAGCATTGGTTGTGTTGTACAAAAGCCTTCAGGGACATATACCAAGCTTTATTGAAGCGTTGGTTATAGGGAGACTGGAACCTCATTTGTGTTCAAAAACAATTTGTTCTTACCATTAACCTGCCCTGGTAATACTTATATATTGTCCAGAGTGATCATCACATTGCTTTTATGTACTTCATTTTTTCTTTGTTACGGCCCATTTCTAATCTACCTAGTTGACTTTTAGTTTTCATGTAAAAGTGTCTTAGCAAGTATATGTGCGATCAGATTGTTCAAAATGTATTGCGCAAATATGCCACATAATTCTGACAATATTCGTCTTCTAATTGCACTATCGAGAGATAACTTAGATGTTTACTTTCATCTTTGCTGATAGTGCCTAAGTTGCGCATTGCCTGACTGATAAAGCGCCGGACACTCTCCTCATCATTTCTTAGTTCAAAAGGCTTGTGGTCAAAGTCATATAGTTCGTATGGAGCGGTAGTAGCAGTTTTAAGGATATTGTCTCGGTGAACTGAAATGTGCTGATCTGCACGGAAAAGATGAACCCTCGGAATAACAATAGTAACAACAGCAACAATAATAAACCAAGGATTGTGATATGAAAATGAGGCAATAGCAAGTAACAGAGGACTCATGGAAAAAACTTCAATATTTATTGTCCCATTCAATGTGTATTTTAATAAGTGAATTCTCTTGATAGCGTTGTAAATTTACTCGAGAATATGCAATAGCTCGAACAGCAGCTGTTGGTAGAATGTGCTCATAGTCATAAATGAAATTCGCAGGCAGACCAGCGTGCTGGAAAGTGAAAGAGTGTGTAAAAATTCGAAGCATATATATGTTAATAGATACGTAGGTAAATTTACTGATTGTTCAAATTTGTAATCAGTTAAGGGGTAGATAATGATTGAGGTACATATGTAGTGGCATTGGACAATAGCCACACAATCCACAAAGCTGTGAACACGAGACTACTCAGAAAATAGATATTCAATATTTAACTCGGGGAAATACCTAACAATGGAGGAGGCGCGGAGAATGAATTGGATGCACTGCAGTCGATCGAGTGGCATGGCTCGGCCATGCAGGCGTGGTCTCTGGCGAATGTTACCTTATATCTTCTATTCATATCAAATATATTGTTCTTTCTCTAGCCTAACCTTGTTCTACATCATGTATTGGTATTTGATACGATACAGTGAGTTGGTGTAGTCGACGGTGTGACTTCCACGTAAGATCTTATAGATTAGGCAGTTATATCATGACAAATCTACAAATTCAGGATTAGGTCTATTATTAGAGCGGTACTAATATCATAGTAGACCATAGTTCTACACATATATGGTTTCAAACAGACTCTTATACACTATTACATAGTGAACCAAATGTCTAAATCGCAACAGGTAGGTAGTAAAATAATATAATGGGCTTACTATAATGCTAATTATTAAGTTGTCTTAGAAATTTGATTAACAGTCTCCTTTCAACCAGCTTTTATAGCATAAAGTGTTCGTCTGATTCTAATGGCTGATAGCTAGTACACTCAGGTAGTACATAGAAGAGCGCTTCAGATATTTCACCATGTAACATACCTTACGAAATACACCACATTCGGAAGCTATGAAATCCACTTCCAGATCTAATTACAGTTCAAATGGTTCAAATGGTTGTCGACGGAATAAAAGAAGCTCTCGCTTAACAGGTTTCCGTGTCTAGTAGCAGGGGATCATCAAATACTCCAGGCAGGAACCTAGGTATGTTAACAATAAAAGAGGAAAATAAATTAGTTAGTCATAGTGTGATACTATCCTTAGTCCTTAAGAATAGATCCAGTTGCCTCTTAAAGGACTCCTGGAAAGTCGCTTGGACTAGCTCAGCCGGCAGCGAATTCCAGCATTTGACAACTCTTAAGGAGTAGAAGTTGTGTCTACAGTCCGTTCTGCTATGTTGTGTCTCCAGTTTTTGGGTGTTACCTCTTAGGTTAGTGTTGAAACTAAGCTTAAGTAGGTGTTTGAGAGGATGTCCAGAAGTGTTAAGGATACTATACGCCATCAGGTCACCTCTAAGACGCCTATACTCTAATGGGTTAAGGTTAAGTGATTGGAGGCGCTCTTCATTAGGTTTAAATTTGAGTCCCCTAAGTGATTTCGTTGCTCGCCGTTGGATACGCTCCAAAGTGTCCTTATCCTTTTGGAGTGAGGGATGAAATACTATGTTTCCGTACTCTAAATGGGGACGGATAGAACGATTGAAGATTATATGGAAAGTTCTTCCGTCGAACTAGCCAAAAATGCGCTTCAGTGTTATCAGTGCAAGGTTTGCTCGGAAGGCATTTCTGTCACAGTTAGCGTAGGACTTTAAATGGTAGGGTACCAGGACTCCTAAATCTTTTTCGACTTGGGATACTACTAGAGAGGAGTTTCCTAAGTTGTAACTGTAGTTTGCGACATGTCGCAGATGGACTACTTTACACTTTGAAGTGTTAAAGGTAAGTCCGTTATCGTCTGCCCAACTTTGAAGTCAAGTCAGATCCTCCTGAAGTGCCTGTATATCGTCTTAATTGCGCATCTCTCTCCAAATTTTCACGTCGTCAGTAAAAAGTAATATGTCTGACGTTACCTGTTGAGGAAGATAATTTATATAAATCAAGAAGAGAAGAGGTCCTAGTACTGAGTCATGGGGGACCCCACTAGGACATTCCATAGCCTGAGATAAAGTGAAATTAACCCTGACCTTAAAATGTCGATTTTTCTGGTATGAAGTGAGCCAATCGATTAGGGGTGGTCTGATACCCAATCGTTTGAGCTTATTGATAAGACATGTGTGAGTAAATTTATCAAAAGCTTTTGAGAAATCCAGGTAGATGATATCAACCTTCCCCTTGTGATCAAGGGTGCTTGTCCATCTGTCCACCGCAGTCAGCAGGTTGATAATACAAGTGTAACCCTTCCTGAAACCATACTGTTAGTTCTAACCTCACTTTATCCTATTCAGACCTTCAAGCTTGTGCGTGATTACAAATTTTACGAAAGTCAGTAATTCTAGATGCCTTAACTTATTCACTTAAAATACTACAGGTATTTTTAGTTTGACAACACTTTAACCAGTGAAACCTGTAGTTGAATAGTGATCACTCAGTAAAGTCAAAGGTCAGAAGTGAGGAGGTTCGAATATATATTTGTCAGGTTACCAATATATCAAGAAGCGAATGATCTAAACTGGCTAGCGCTTGCAGCAGAAGTTGAGCACAGCGTTCCCACTCGTGATCTGGTGCGGATGCGTGACCGAGCGCCTTCAGCTCGGTGAGCCCATTAGAACCAATGTGATCGGCATAAAATGTCGAAGACTTATAGAGCTACTGATTTTGGGGATTTTTTTACCACTACACACTTTTCTCAACAAAACTTCTGCAATCTAAGTTTCTTGAATAATCGATATGAACGATCTGTATTTCCATACACTCAAGAACCGAACACGATAACGCAGATGCGAATATAAGGAGGTATTTATACTCTAATTTATTCGTAACAATGTTTTTTATCTAATGACTGAGTTTTTGTACGCTTTCGTTGTTTCAGTTATTTGACCCTGACAATTACCTACTTTTGAATATGCAACAACCCGGCGTAAGTAGTGTAGCTGCGAACGTATTCAACCAGTAAGTATAACTTGGGTTTTGTAACAATAAATCCCCATGATAGAATCGACAGGAACAGGAAGGGAGCCATAACTGCGAATGAATTGCAGCAGGCATTATCCAACGGTTAGTTTACAAATTGTTGAATGCATTCGTATTTCTTCATGTTAGTCTTCAGTAATGAAGATAGTGAGTCGGCGGACCTGTGTTAATCCTTGCAGCTCGTTTTCTAGTTGAGACACAGCTTCTCTTAAATATTCACTGATGAGACTGATACCATTTGTTCGGAGAGGGTGTTCCAATCATTGGCTACTCGATGCGAAAAACGGAACCCCACTCTGAGTTTATGAGATCGCGGGTTTTGAACCTTCTTGCTATGGCCTCCGATAGGATTAGTTCTGGAGGGAGCGAAAAGATGAGACGTATTGACCCTCAAATTGTTATTAAACATACGGAATGTCAACATCAGGTCACTTCACGTTCTACAATACGATAGGGGAAAAGGTTCAGGAGTTTTAAGCTCCCATTGTAAGGGAGATTGGAAACAATCTTCAGTAAATTTGTTCCCACATGTTAGACACAGTTGAATATGTTAGTATCTTGAATAAGGCATGGACTGGCTGTTTGGGCACAGTCAGCTTTTATATTGTTTACACTCACTTAGTACCAGCATTTATTGTAAAATGCATTGGTTCACAAGTAAGTTTTTCTGGCTGTGTGAAACGTATCCACCTCACAGAAACTCATGGTTAGTTTGAAACATTCTTGTCGACAAACTATTTCCCTTTTTCGTCAGTGTCCAGCACTTGAGAAAAATGTAATATATTTGCTTCTCAATAAAAAACCCTTCGTTGTTGTTCATGAGTATTGACTTAAGGTTTTTCTAGGTAAAACAAGAAGTCACGCTGACAAACCAGTGGATTTGACACTAGTTTGTCACAGAGATGCTCAATAAGCTTATACACCTCTATCATCATAATAGTTTGAACTGATGTTTCATTTGTACTTATCAGCAGCGATGAAAAAAGCTGGCGTCTCCGTACTTAAACTAACTGGAGTTAGTATAAAGCATCGTCATTCGAGTCTACAAAATCAAGTATCGATGTTCGTATTTATTACGCTACGCTCGTTCACTTCATCTAACAGTAAACTTCGTGCCCTGGTAATAGCTCAACTGCGCTAATTGCTTTTTAGCTTCATATGGACGCACATCAGAATGAAGTTATGAAAGGTTCTGGTTGGAGGCATTATTCGCATATATTTTGTTCTTTCTGGCCTACAATCTAAAACACATGCATCAAAGTATATCATATTACAGTCTCGACTAAAAGAGAATATATTTTCTCCATAGCCAGATGACTTGACTGTCTTAAATTGTGGAACCAGTCGTTGGAGACTCAGATAAGTTATGAGTCACCTCCATAAAGAAAAAAATTGAGTGACAGTGAGAAAAGTGTACAATCCCTAATGACGCTGCTGACGAGTTCGACCAAAATGTTAGTTCATCATTAGTTTTAAGTAGACTAATTAAACTTCGGTAAATAACTTTTAGCCTGTGTTCTAAAAGTTGCTTAAGACTAAAACGTCATTTAGTACTTCTAGGATTAGGTTTAAAGGTTGCCTATATGCAGAAGGTTTGCTTTTGAAGAAATCTAACCAACCGTTTTTTGATTCTTAAAACAGACCTTGAAATTCATACTGATCAAACTAATTCCCCCTTATTTATCACGCAAGGCCTTTATGAGATATTTTAAAGGATCATATATAGTTTCATCTGACTACACAAACCCAATAAAATGTGCTCGTTATTAACAAGTAGTTAACTGTTTGATTTACATACACACTAAAGTAGAACAATTTGATTGGATTAAATCCATAATTAACTCGTTTAACAAGGTTTTTATTCTTATTGACTGTTGCTGATTGTAAGGTTCGCTGTTCGATAGAAATCTGTTTCTACGCTGATCGATTTCTCACGTAAATGTAATTATTTGGCAACTGTATTATATGATTGTCTGTTTATAGTTTAATTTTGTAGCATCCTTGTGTTTTTTATTTTTTCCGAAATATTAACCTTAACAACTCCCACACAAAACAGGATTGGGGACATCATTTAATATCAAAACGGTTGAACTGATGATATGTATGTTTGACAAAGATATGAATGGCACTATAAATGTCTATGAATTCTCTCAACTATTTGAGTACGTACAACAGTGGCAACAATGTTTTCGATCATATGACAGAGATGGATCCGGTACAATCGACTGTCGAGAGTTTCATACTGCTTTAACAAGCTTTGGTTATCGATTGTCTCCAGAATTTTCACAATTCTTAATTAGAAAATTCGATAAAAATCGCCGCGGATCAGTAGGATTTGATAATTTTATCTTGGCATGTGTTTGTTTAAAGGTAAGTTTCAAAATTTTATCTTCCATATTGTTTCCTATTTCTGTGCTTCAAAACGTTTCAATGATAGATATACGAAAATAAATAAAGATAAAAGGGCTAAAAATACCTGTGTAACTTATTTATCGTGTTAGGAATGTTAGTTGTTCGGACATTCTGGAATATCATAATCCCTTCGGCTATCGGTAATGTTTTTATTACTTGACTTTTCATCTCGTCCAACTTACCCCGATGATGTATAGTGTGGCAACTTGACTTGGCCCACGTCCTTATTTTCTTTATGATTAACCAAATTTGAAAGCTAGATATGTATTTGTTCTGAAATGCGACATAACTTCTGCTTTCAGCTTTTACTTTGTTTGCTTGTCATGGTGACTGAGACTATATATAACCTGAGGAATTTGTTGCGCGAGATCTTACCATGCCAAAAGTTCCGTGGGGTAGCAGAAAACTTAAAGTCAGACATCAAAGTTATGCTCTTGATTGTCTTGTAGTGTAATAGGTTTCACATGTTTCGGATGGATTATTAACACCCCTAGTAATGATGTACAGCTAGAAAAATAAATTACAAACATTCAACCGTAAACAGAGCATACACTCCCTTGATTAATGATTCCTGATCCCTCCTGAAAGTTTTGGAAAGTATAAAGTGTATGTAGCGAAAAATACTATTAGCAAGACGATCAACTCGTTGTCTATTGAGCTTCTCGGTCAAGCTCCGTGATCTAAAAGGTCATTGATACTCAAATAGGTTTTACTTCACTTTCATCGAGTAGTCCTCTTTCATGATTAAAGCATTTGAGAACTATTGATTGTCAGTACTCTAACATCACTCGGGATTATCAATAACTATCTCCAATGTTTCCTAAATTTCCTCCCATTCCCCTTGTTAATCTTTCACTTTGACTCTATTTTCCTTCTAATGCGCAACCGATTCTAAAGATTTAATTAAACGATGTGTTATTGCCGCTCTGCTAAAATTATGCTCTATACTGCAAGCCACTCTGTAACAATTCATATTATTACACGCCTATGTGATTTATGCTGACTTTCTGATAGACAAATTAATCCGTTTTTCGGACAGACAATAAGAATATGCAGGTAAGAGCAGACAAAACGAGCCTACTCAATTTCCATGAGTGTGATTCTGCATTGTTTCGTATGGATAAAAGCAAGTTAAAGATAGTTAGTGAATAGAATATGTGATGGACAAATATATGTACATACAAGTTCTCTGAAGGTAATAAGTGAACAGCTGACAAGGTCAAACATATGTGTACCTAGTAACTCAAAAAGGTTAGATTAATATATTTGTCCATAAGTAGGAATTGCTACAAATGCTTTCAGTGTTTTAACCTTATTTCTAATCGAAAAAATAGTTCCACTAGCCCAAGATCCTACAATATCTTCCGTTTGTTGGATACTGTGTTACAGAAACCCATGTGTACTTATTTACCTAGCCAACATGAAGGACTTGTTTACCTTATCCTTTGTAACCGGAGGCTCAACCGCAACACCTCATCGTGCTGCATATGTAGATTTACCATTACGTTTCGCAGAATGGACTATCAATTCTCAACCTAGAGTAGTTTATTCTGTTTTCAATTAAGTCGAACATGCTTCAAGTACTTTTCATTAACCCACTATCCGCCAACATCTTATATACTATATCGTTATTAAGTTTGCAAATGTTACTGAAGTTGAGGAGCATGTAATTAATTTTAGACGATTCATAGAAGCAAGTTATGAGTCATTAATTCCACAAATCATATGGATTATAACCCAATATCATTCGTCAAATTAACAGATATATTAATTGAGGTTTTGAAGATGTGAATGATTAAGAACGCTCAAATGTTTCTTGTCGTATATACCGTTTCTTCCGTCCCATCGTTTGAGAGATTTTTCAGTTGCATCTCCCACTGAAAGATTTATCAAAGACTATCAGTTTACTGAAACTTGTCTGTTGCGGTATGATTGATTAAGTCAGAGCTTACTAGTAACTATCATGTAGACTGACTCTATCAATCAGCATTCATCACGATTGTCCTGTTGTCCTACATTTCCCTTAGAGGTAACTGTTTCTTCGTCTTATTTCTCCTTCCTGGGTTAGTGACTTTAGGAAGAATATACTGTAGTCCACGTTGTCTTGCTGAAGACTTTAAGTTATATCTTTTCTTGGAGTAAGGCTGGTTGTTGTTTCATCGTTAGAAATTTCAACGTGCCGCATATCAAATAAATAGAGCTTGCAACGTCAGATAGGTGTTTGGACAGCAGTCTGCTGTCAACACATTCGAGTATGTCTAACGTGTGGGAACAAATTTACTGAAGATTGTTTCCAATCTCCCTTACAATGGGAGCTTAAAACTCCTGAACCTTTTCCCCTATCGTATTGTAGAACGTGAAGTGACCTGATGTTGACATTCCGTATGTTTAATAACAATTTGAGGGTCAATACGTCTCATCTTTTCGCTCCCTCCAGAACTAATCCTATCGGAGGCCATAGCAAGAAGGTTCAAAACCCGCGATCTCATAAACTCAGAGTGGGGTTCCGTTTTTCGCATCGAGTAGCCAATGATTGGAACACCCTCTCCGAACAAATGGTATCAGTCTCATCAGTGAATATTTAAGAGAAGCTGTGTCTCAACTAGAAAACGAGCTGCAAGAATTAACACAGGTCCGTCAACCCACTATCCTTATTACTGAATACTAAAGGCTACATAATCACTTATTGATTTCCTAGTTTGAGGCTTCTTAGAAGACTAAAAGAGATGTTTATTAGTCTCTGGTTTTCAGTGGTATTCTAAGTGTTCATTATTTGATAAAGAATATTTACAAGTTGTATGTGAGCTGATTATCATATGCAGTAACGAATTATACCCGTAATTGCTTGCTACATTATTAAAAACCATTCATTCTCCGGTTAACACTGGTGGTCACTATTTTATTTAATTCATAAAGAGTCGTCCGTACATTCTAGTCCCCACATAGCGATTTTTCATCTATATTTAATGGTTTAATACAATGGTAGGTTTTCGAATTATGCGTGTGTCTGTGTGTAATAATGTAAATTCTTAAACTAGCAGTCTAAGGAAAATAAGCTTCTTGTCTAATCATACTATGATTTTGTATAGAACTAAAACAGTCATTATCGTGTTTTATTTGCTGTTTGAATATATTTCTAACCCATTGTTACATAGACCTATTGGATTGTCATAACTTAAGTCTTATTATTACATAACGTAATGATACCGCCAATTAGAGAACAGTGATTTATCGACCGGACCAATGACGCATAAACCCGTACGAGCAGTCTACAGTCCTTCTCCCTGTCTTTTGAGTCCAGAACACCAATCTCAGCCTCTGTGATATGAATCATGCATTCCAAACAGACCACATCGTACCATAAAATAGAAAATAACATTTATACATGATCTAGCCAAAAATGGCTGTGAATGTGGGAGACCGTAATTAATAGACGGGGCATAACTCAAGAATGGTAGATCGTGTAATAATAGTCCATGGGTCAAAACAAAGCTTTTAATAAGAGGAACACGAATATGCATAGTTTAGCTACTTACCAATCATACAATAAAAATATATGTATCGTATTGGTCCATAAATAGTTCTCAAAAGTTACCATTCATAATTCTCGTTGAAATGAGTTGAATTCCTTGACTCAAGCTGCTTACTTACTGTGTAATCAATTTCACCTTCTTTGTGACTCATTTGCTAGGTATCAGCCTTGTAGGTTACTCGGTCTTTGATAAATCAGGATCTAATTATTAGGCTTAATTCTTCTGCATCACATCGGTGTTATTTGAAAACTTTGTTCCATCATCGCTAAACCTCCGTTTTACTAAGGAACCTAACTTGTAAAATTTCACATTCTATGATATTTAATCATAATATTATTCATTTATCATTGTTAACTCCTTTCTACTATTGTCAATTAATTCAGTATAATAATAGCTGAGGATATTAATTACACGACTATGGAGCAGTGGTTTGGTGGGTAAAACATTCGACTTTTAATTCATGTTCTAATCCCGCTCTAATTGTTTCGATTTAAGTAACCGGGTATTATAGCTGTGACGGCAGCAGATTAGAGGGTAACGAATTATTGATCGGACCAAAGACGCGCAGACACGTAGAACGACCTAGGGTTCTGATTAGCCCTGCTTCCCTGTCTAGCCCAACCAGTTAAGTCCAGAACGCAAGTCTCAGCCTCGGATATATGAATTCTTATATTTCAAACACACTCTGTTTATATACTAATCAAGCAGACCACATCGTACTATAAAATAGAAAATAACATTGTACAATATTGACCAGTAGGAAAATGACACGTGAAATAAGCACTGACCAATAAGAGAATAATACCATCTCCAAGTCCAAGAATAGCATTAGACTTAATAGAATAATTTTTGGGATATTTTCCTGAATATCCCAACACCGGGTAATGTCATTGAACCTTACACTTTGATTGTTGCCTATATCTAAGTACCGAGAGAATTACTTAATTTAAATTAAAAAGTTCATTGTATTAATGATATTGTTTGTTTTTTTAAGCCAGTATACCATTTACCTTCTATTAAACTATTCATTTTATCATTACTACTATTACTATTATTATTGTTACAGAATTTAACTGATGTATTTAGACCTTATGATTATCAACGAAATGGAATGGCACAACTTAGTTATGAACAATTTTTAACTGCTGCATTCAGTGTAGTTAGTTAGTTCATTCAACATTATTATTAATGGTCAAATATTATCAATATCCTTTTCTTTAAGATTGTAAAGATAATAATGCTTACTTATTTATATCGATCAAGTTATTATACTTGACCCATATTCTTGTCTAGTAACAAACAAACAAACATAAGTATGAAATACTATGTAATTATCTAAATCACTTATTATGAATATACAATATAATTGGAGACCATATCTGTCTGTCTCATGTAATTGTCTACAGTGAGGTTACTACTATAACCAATATACTCACCTTTTTCATTTAAAAAAAAACAACTAAAATTGCAATTACTTTGTTCTGTTCTATGAGAATAGTTTTTTGTTTTCTTCATATAATAATAATGAATGAATAACTTCAGGAAAAACTCCCGAAGTTCTAGTGAGAAGCCGTTACCAGTGGAGTTCAACCAGGTCTGTTGTGAGATAGGAACTCACTGAAGACAATGGTGTACGGTAGTTAAGTGCTCGCGCGCGAAGCCAGTAGGTCCTGGGTTCGAGCCCCGCGTGGTGCAGGATCGTGGATGCGCACTGCTGAGGAGTCCCATACTAGGACGAAACGGCCGTCCAGTGCTTCCAGGTTTTCAATGGTGGTCTAGCTTCAACTGACTCATGATTTCAATCTGTGAAATAATGAATTTGTTGAACACACTAAATAGAGGTCAGTGTTAGTGGTATGCGACTCCATTGTGCAATAAAATCAAATTAACTGAATAGGGGTTCAAGTCTATCATCTATTAATAATAGTTGAGTAGTAGAAAGATTTATTAAATAAGATCAAGTAAAAATAAATCAAGCATACAGCCTTTTGCTGCAAGTACAGAAAGAAAAAGTCAACATGTTAAAGCAGCAACTAATCAATAGGAATGAAATCTTATTTCTTCACAACTCCTAACAGAGGTGTTTCAGGACGAATAAAACAGAAATTGAGAATCCTTAAATAGCAATATTATGATGGATAGTGTATGGGATCTGTTACTGATACACAGTGTGCTACGTGCTAACTCCTCAACTGAATACTTAGGCGAATAAAATACACAAATACCCATCCGTACATATATATATATATATATATCACTCGAACCCTTAGGAAATTTGCCTATTTCTTAGCCAGTGAATTGCCATTAACCTTTAGGTCACTCCTGATTGCCACCGATGATTTCTCGACAGGTCATTTCTGATTGACTTACCAATAGAATGTTAGTAAGTAATTTTCAGGGATTTATTTGTAACTATTTTTAAATTACAAGCTGATAGTCGTGATTGGTGTCAGGGAGAGAGCTTCTCAAATTCAAGCAATATATCAAGAGTATATTGTTAGTCAAGTGTTGGTATGTGGACTCAAGTGTCATTTTAAGAAATTAGTTATTCACTAACTAACACATACACACACACTAGTACTTAATTCAATCAGTACTATCATTCGATAATTAAAAAATTTCATACACATAGTTCCCTTTATCATTTTGAAAAGAGCGAGAACAAACATTCTAGTAGAATAGCATGAATTCATTTTTATTTCGTTGGTTCTCGTCACAGTTTATTTACGAACCTCATTTAATTCATTTGTTCAAGGGTTAGGGAATACTCTTTATTAAATAAGTCAGAAATTGAAAGATTTATTTATTTAGATTGAGTGTAAATGACAAATGACCAGTTAGTTATAATGTACTTGTTAGTAGCTCAGTGCTTTATGTTCCTCTTTGTTAGTGTCCACTGTTAGGTAAAACGTGTTATAACTTGTGGCCTGAGCACCCTGCTAATGTATAACGTAATGATACCGCCAATTAGAGAGCAATGAATTATCGATCGAACCAATGACGCATAAAACCCGTACGAGCAGTCTGGAGTACTTATCGGCCCTGCTTCCCGCCTAGCCTAGACCAGCCAGTTAAGTCCAGGACACCAACTTCAGCCTCTGAAGTATGAATCGTTTATTTCAAACATACTGGGTTTATATAGTATCCAAACAGACTACATCGTACCATAAAATGGGGAGTAACATTTGTACAAGATTTAGCCAAATATGGCTATGAATGTGGGAGATTGTAATTGAAAGTTTAGGCATAACTCAAGAATGGTAAACCGTATAATAACAGTTCATAGGTGAAAATAAAGCTCATAATAAAAGCGGCATGAATATGAATAGTTTAGTTACATAACAATTATACGATAAAAATATACGTATAGCACTGGTCTCTAAATGGATCTAAAGAATTACTACTTATCGTGACATAACAGAACTAAAATATATAACTCAGTGATTACTTAGACGTAGTTGATGTATCGATTTTGTAAATCGTATACTTACACCAAATTATTGATTAAATAGTGCTATCTGTCAACATTCAAATTTATTTATTGATTTGGTGAAATTTTAGTTGATATACAACTTTGTTCGTATTGATTAGTTGTGCATAAATAAATAATTATCTGATAACAACAACCTTGCTTGTTGTTATAATCTTGTTATACTGAACAAGTAACCATATCAACGATCAAATACGTTTTATTTTCAAGCTAGTAATTGAGAATTCATTTAAACTAACCATTTCATTAATATATATCGACATTGATATAACTGATGGTTTACAATATTTTCCTCTGTTAGACGTATATTACTTACTTACGCATGTTACTCCCAATGGAACATAGGCTGCCGATCAGCATTCTCCATCCAACCCTGCCTATGCAATCTTTTCCAGTTATTATTCATCCTTTTCATATCTGATTCCATTTCCCGGCATAATGTGTTCATTGGGCTTCCACTTTTCCACTTCCCTTCAGGATTCCAAGTTAGGGCTTTCCCAGTGATGCAGTTTGATGATTTCCGTAATGTATCTCCTATTTATTTTCATCGTTTTTTCCTAATTTCCTCTTCAACTGGAAGCTGGTTTGTTCTCCCCTACAGAAGGCTGTTGCTGATGGTATCCGGCTAATGTATGTTGAGTATCTTGCTTAGACAACTATTTATAAATACTTATACCTCCCTGATGTTGGTTGTAGTAATCTTTCAAGTTTCAGCTCCGTACAGTAGAACTGTCTTGACGTTCGTATTGAAGTTTGCGACTTCAACATTGGGTGACAGTTGTTTTGAGATGCATATGTTCTTCAATTGTAGGAATGCGGCCCTTTCTTTGCCAATCCTCGCCTTTACGTTAATAAGACTAATCATGTTATATCAGAACCAGGATTCACAACCCAAAATAGAGAACCAGGTTAACACTAGTGTATACTTTATTCAATATAATTACAAGCAGTCACACACAAAAAGTCCAGAATAGAAATCACCAATAAGACGTTAAACCAAATATTTAATACTCTGTAGGCTGTGACAGTGAGACTATGATTTATGGACGACTTTTGAGCAACGCTAAAGTGACCTTGAGGGTGTCCACCTAATAATTAGGACCAAATAAGGGTTATAAACCTGTGTGAGGAATTCGAATTATGATTTACAGTTGATGGTTAAGGTTAGAAATTAGATTTAATGTTTTAATCACGTACTGACATCGTCTATAATGACAAAACTCGACTTAGCCAAATGGATCGGTGAATTTCGTGCCGAAACCTGTTATCTTATTCATGATTGGTTCGTCCTTAAACTATAGTCCCACCGCTGTGACTGTTTGACCCAGGCTCATTGACCAATCATACTTTAATTTCATTACCATACATCAGAAGTTTAGTTGTATGAGGTGTTCGGTGAATGTATTACTTCATTTAATCATGTCACAAATGGACATCAATTGAAAAACGTTTAAGACTCAAAGTAATTAATGTTCTTTTAAAGCACTTGAAGTGTAGACCGGAAGTTTTTCATTGCTACATAAAAAAAGTAGCTTCGGTTTTTCAATAAGGATAAGGTTACTATCAGAAGGGGTTTTGTGGAGATTGTAGTAATTTCAGGAGTCAATTGAAGCTAGCCCACCATGGAAAACCTGAAGGTACTGGACGGCCGCTTCGTTCTATTGTGGGACCCCTCCTTGACAGTGCGCACCCACGATCCCACCTCGCTGGATTCGAACTCAGGACTTATCAGTCTCTCGCGCTAGTGCTTAACCACTAGACCAGTGAGGTGGCCGTTATCCAAAGGTGTTTATGTCTAACTTCAAGTAATCCACGAAGAAGTTTAATGAACACGACATATTCGAATCAAGATTGAATTTGTGTTATTAGTTCAAGTATTTGTCTTATAATCATTCAGTTATCTGATTAACCCTTATCCTACTAATAATTACTGGAGTAAGCGATTGGCGATGTTAACTACCATAGTCAATGTAAGAGATTTTTAGTTGAATCTCATCACTAAATGTAATATTTCTCCGGTTGAAAGACAAACAATTCATTCATTCAGTATGTATTTGTATTGTGGTGTGTACTACTGATGTTGAGATATATAAGTAGTATGTATCACTAACCAAAAGTGAATTGACTAGTGGCAGAAGGTCTGAGGAGAGAGAATGATTGAACGAAGAAATAATCAAGTTTGAGATAAGTGATTGACATTTTACAAATGATGTATTTACTGTATGATTATCAGATTTTACTAAAAGATTCTCTAATTTCCAATTCAAATACATTTGGTTATCCTCGCCTATGTTCCCGTTCACTACAGTATTTCATATAGTTGTATACTGTAAATTATATTCAAGATATAATTTAAAATTCCTCCATTAAATTTTAACAGGAATATAGATGTATATTAGGGGAGAATATTCTCAGTGGTCTAATGGTTAAGTGCTCGCGCGCGAAGCCAATAGGTCCTGGGTTCGAGCCCCGCGTGATGCGGGATCGTGGATGCGCACTGCTGAGGAGTCCCATACTAGGACGAAACGGCCGTCCAGTGCTTCCAGGTTTTCAATGGTGGTCTAGCTTCAACTGACTCATGACTTCAATCTGTGAAAATTCTATAATTATCCATCCAAATTAATGTGATAGTTTGGAGTATTTGGATTATAGTATGAACTAAGAATCCCAGAAGTAAC